AATCGGATTGGACCACGCTAAGCGGCCGCGCTCGCAGGTGAGGTATTTCATATACACAACTTATCGATTTGGACCACGCTCCGCGGCCACGCTCGCAGGTCGCGGTTTTCGCATTAGAGCACGTCACCCACCTTGGACTTTCACGTTTCACGCTTACTTATTTCGCAACGCACCCGTTTTCTCCGAGCTTTGCACGTTTCACGCTTACTTATTTCGCAACGCGCCCGTTTTCTTCGAGCTTTCAATTTTTTACTTACCGTCATCTAGGATAAATCTGTTTTTTGCTATACACTGAATTCATTTAACCCCTCTCTACTTCTAACCTTGTATAATTTTCAAGTTTCATTGACCCTCTATGATGACTTTTTTCATAAAATTTAGCAGAAACGTGTTCTTTTGTACTCTGGTAATGAGTTGAAGTGGATTTGAGCAACATGGATTTCTGCTTGGAGAGTGCGATTTCATGCTGCATATGCGCTTACAGAGGTTTTGAATAAGATGCCAGAAACATGGTCTGGCGCTACTGTTTTAAGTTTGTACAGGTAAGCAACGTGCAGGTTATTTTCTATCTCAGTTTGGTCAGCTACATCGTTGATTTATTTATATTTCAAGAAAATGTATGTTGCAAAGTCTTGTCTTATGCTTCCACGTTCCAACAATTTTGTGGTCACATCTGCAACAGGTCGAACAGCGAATTATTGGATTTCATTTATCACATCGACGTTACATTTACAGGCACTTCCGCAAGCGTTGGCAAGATTGGGAACAAATGGGATGGCTTTGCAAGGGATTCAGTGCTTCATTGTGGATTATATTCGGCACAGTGACAACTTCATGAATAGGTACAGATATACCAAAAGAAGTGAGTGTGCGTTTCTAACCCCACTCTATTAGGTATGCTGATAATCACAACCGAGGTTCACTTCTGAACGCTTTGGCGGCTTGTGTAGCTCCTGTTAGCACACTGGGTGGGGGAAATTGCATACCAGATGCTTTGCGCTAGGAAATGAATGAAGTAGTCGAGGCAATTTTCCTTAGATTGTCCTTAGTTTGGCTTTTTATCTCTTTTGCTTCTTTTCCAATTATCCATACGTGATCGAACAATTGCGATATTCCTTTTTCAATAATATATGCCCAAGAAACAAATCATGCTCTTAACATGGACATAGTCAAGCCAGCTTTTTGTCATGTCGTTGGCTTGGCAGCGCTTTCGGTCATTCATAATGGGAGCTGTATGGTAATGATAGGAAATCGGTTATTTTTGCCTTTTTGGCTCCAACGCAATGGTCATATACCCTCGGATTCCAAGATTTTCTGGGTCTTTGCAGCATCGAAGTTATGTGTGAATGTAGGTATTACTTTTTTGATGAGCATATCTCACTTTCTCTCAAAAGCATTCATTAAATATGCATTCTTTGCAAAAGGAGAAAAACAACTTTTTTGTTTTTGCCAAATA